CCCTGCATGAATGTATAATGAACTTGGAACGCCGTATCTTCCAGTGCGTTGTCATCTACATTTTCCAAGTAGAAAACATCGGTCAGCTGTATGTGGTGGTAATTCAACTATGTTAAAATCACCGTCAAAGTCTTTATCATCGACCAAATGATGGTCATTGTCTCAATATTCATCAAATTGTCTTAGCGTTCGAAGATTGTATCGATTCACGATTATCTAAATTGAGTAAAGGGAAAAAATATTTACAAGAATGTAAATTATAATAGTAGAGTCATTTATGAAAAGCCAACCAGGTTGCTGTCACGCAGTTCAAAAATTTCTAGATGAAGTGACTTTTCAGCACATAATTTGTGACCATCTGCCCTAAAATTGTTAAAATTATTTTGCTCAATGGACGAAAAGGATTATCTACACCACAACAATTGGGAATAGGTGTGTTTCCAAATCACCTGCTGGAAACATCTAGTACCAACAGATAACTGGAATGAAAACCAAACTCCTATTTATAGTATAAAATACGATTGCTACGCTAACATAATAAATAATTGACCACCTCTAAATTAACCCTTATATGTTTCCTTTTCTCCCAAATTCGAGACCATTCTAATGTCATATGACTCTTACATAAAGCTCGATACAAATGGAACTAAAACCCCAAAAAACCAATAGCAGCTTAGCTTTACATATGGCACGCGTTCAGTATAAATGCCACCATTCCTAGAAGATACATCCCATTAGCTTTTCTTCCACTCTTCGAATAGTCTGTGCTGCTCTCTTCGCATTCTTCTTCCTTTGTTCGTTGCATAATGTGACCTTTGTTCATCCCATTTCGATATATTCTAAGGAATTCCTGTGCATCAAAATACATTAACGCATAAATTAACATTTACCGTCCTGCAGTTGATAAAGAGCTGAGTTTGTGCACTTGCAAAAACAACTTGTTATTCTCTAACCAAAAATCATAGCTTTTCGAAGGGTATTCAATTCTTTCCACCACTCATTTAAAAAACTTTCGTGCCGATATTCATGTAAGGGAGACTACATATTTTGGAGCCAATGAAAATAAAAACATCTGTTTGCAATTCAGTGAATACTCAAGACAATACTTAGTTCAAATGATATGCTTTCCCGTATTCAGGTATGTTTATTTAGTTGCATAAATCAGATTAACCGAGAAAGCTAAGAATTAATAAATACATTTCTTACTAACTATAGCTAATAGAGACTATAAGAACAGTGTAATCAGAAGCAAAATTTTAACTAGTAAATGTCTATATTCAGATAGAAGAAGAATTTTAATATATTCCTAAATCTTCAGCACGAAAATATAAATTTTGGTATTTATTTTAATTATCTAGCATCAGCCATTGTCGAAAATGCAAAGCACATCTGAATCATTCTGTTAAATGGTGTGTTTTAAATCTCCCATTAACATTCAATAAGCTTGCTGACGAATATCCATACAAACTTCGAACTGATTTTTATTTTTATTTATCTATATAAATACTATTTTGTATTATATGATTTATTTTCCGGGCTCCTGATATATAGCAATTTTGGGCTTAGAATTAAAGTGGAATGAAAAATGGGGCTTATTAATTATTTCTGTTAAATGCACTCTAGATAAGAACTAATAAATATTTCAGACTTAAAAATCCATTAAGATATTTTGAACATTTTTTTTGTAAGAAAAGAAATATTTTATAGAATTGCAAATGCTTAAGTATAATCGGTGATAATGAGATCTTTAAAAGATATACGATTTTGTATTTTCCGATAAGAAAGCAAAATATTAAACCTGGATTTTCAAATTTATTCCATTATCTAGGTGTATTTATTCTCATTTAGTACTGGCTTCTGCATTTACGAACATAAGTTCTTTTTTTTCAAACGGTCTGTTTCTACTATTGAAGGTAAAGTGGCAACTGTACCACAAATCTATACCACAAATCTCAGGAGATTAATTTATGATATCATATGCAATGACATAAATTAATCTTCTAATATTTGGAGTCTGTAGTAATATTTTTACATATTTTCCTAGTCTTTTCTGAATAAATAAATTTAGGATGATGTCTGTAATGAAAGGGAAACGTATTTGGCTTGAAAGATGCCGTACAAAAAGCCTCATATTACATATGCTAATAAATTTAACAATCATGTATATCTTCTTTCGCGTTTTTAATGCGGTACTACACTATTAAACGATAACAGTTTACGGTTTATAAACCGGAACGTTGGGAAATAAATTTAGGTTTATTACAATCTGTTCATTTAACATTTTTAAAAACGCACTTTGAGATATTGTTACTTGCGTTTGGATTCGCAATGAATTTAATTAAAACTACTAAGAACATCAAACAAACGCAATTCAAAGCGCATCTAAAGAAGGAATCTCGCACGGTCATTTCTCAATACTCCGAACTCAGCTGAGAAATAAATCTCTCTCCGATCTTATATAATATTTCTCCAGCCGACGAGAATTTTCCAATACCTTCGATTCCACATTGATTGTCATCACTTAAATGTATCACATTTGACTTATTTATATACCAAATGTAGCATTCATTTAATGCGCTGCCAAATGCATATATGTGTATACATACAATTAATTTCACTAATATATAGTATTGATTTATGTCATAAGAGTGTTCATATGTAATACTATGCTTTTCAAAATATCTTGTAACAAAAGAAAGTAATATGTACTGAACAACAGGCCTTGTATGCCAATGTAACTGATTTCAGCAGAAATGACGTTCAATTCCGTACAGCAAGAACTAGGACGGATGTCATATTCGCGGTGTATAGTACCTTCGATTTCTCAAAATTCTTGGAAAGTGCACGCAGTTGCAGTTACTTATAGGGCCGGATACAGTAACAGTCATATATAAGGATCGGATCGAATGTTTCCAAATGGTCGCTAAGTTTGGCGAGTTATCGCCAAATTTGGCGGCAAAATTTAATCCTAGAACCAACGCTAGTTTGATGCTGTTTCGCAAACTTGTTGGGACGTACCTGAATGTGAAATGAACTTGCCCCTGTAACAATACTTTTCCGGCAGAACTTCGACTTTTATGACACATATTCTCATTTGCAGCATTTCATGTTGCATTGTACAGTTCACGTATAATTTTCAGTAAAATTATTTACACACATACAAAATTCGTAACAATATGATCATTTGATTCAGTTCATTGAAACAAAGGAGAAATTTTTAATTACTCCTGTATGAGATATCGTTTTAAAATATCATTTTTTTCCTTTTACGCTGAAATTTTTGTATAAAACAGATATTTTTTTTATTTCTTCAAAGATTAAGGAATAATACATCAGTACTACAGGTGCAAGCATGATCAGTTTCAATTCGGGCGCACTAATGAGCTATCTACCATGCAGTCGGATTATGAACTGTCCAATAGGCTTATGCCTAATTATACGTACTATATGTAAGCTATACTTTCCATTATATAATATGATTCTTACTCTGTGCATATGATTCCACTACATGGGGTATTAAAACCTTACTTGAATTCTGCAGTAAGCCTTATCAATTGTTTGTTGCAAGTGCTTGTGATTAAGTTTCTTTTTAAAGCACTAAAAGATAGTAATCATGCTAATTTATTTTCCTTGATTAAAATGTTACCCATGGCTTAGCATTACATGAATTACTTCATTGCAAATACTGTTTACTCTTGATAGTCAGGTAGTCACTAAGCTAGGCACTGAGGAAGACGTTGCATTTTAATGAAAAAAATTAAGAAATTCTCTTAAGTTATACAAATTTGTGATGATTGCTTTAATTGTATGATTGTTTGATTTATTTTTATCAAAGGAAAATTATTTTTATATTATCGCAGTGAAATAATAGTTATGTATTTTTCCATCTATTAAGTGTGCTAAAACTAATAGTTCTTAAACTATATTTGAGTCAGAAATATTTTCTAATCTAGAATTTTGTACTTAGGTAATAATACAACCAACTTGGAGCAATTTGTCATTTTTTAAAGATAAAATGGCACGAAAACCGCGGCAGCACCGGCTATCAACCAAACGCATTTCTTCATTGCTTCCTCCAGAGACTTTGTGGCAAAAATCTGTATGCCTGCAGAAATTTTGCTGAAGATTCTTTCACTTCTGTCAAATTCCACAAATGTGTATTTTAAAACTAAGGCAAAAAATATTACCGTTTGCATATAAAACTGTTGGAACTTAAATTGCAACAAATGAACGCGTAAGAAAATAGCAAAGTTGCTTGACTGAATTATTGCTATAAGAATTATTGATTGCCTGAAGAGTGGTTATGACCATGGTTGCCAGAGTTTGGCACATTCTGAAAATTCGAGTACAGCTAATATTTTCCTGCAAATGCATCGCATATAAAATAAAGATCCATTCCAGCCATAAATAGCATTTTTTAGCAAGAGTAATTTTGTCAGCCGAATTTATTCTTATGTAACTGGTATGAGATTATTTAATATTTGATTGTATGCTATTTTAAGTAGTTTTATGAAATACTTTCAGAAGGGAAGTTGAAACTTTTATCGTGGCAAGACATAGAATCATCTGCTAAATACTTATCTTTAAGAAAAAAGGATTAAAAGCATTAATGCCCACGTGTAACATAAATAAAAATCGTTCAACAATTAAAGATTAGAACGAAACTCGTCAAATGAGCACCATGCAAAATTACTGGGATTAAACATTAGCATTTTTAAACTAAATTTTGTTTAATAAAATAATCTATAATTTTAACTAACTAAACATAGTTATAGCGTGCAGAGAAACATGGATGAGCATATATTGATTTTTGAGTATTATTTGATTATTGAAGCACATCTGAAGTTATCTTCTGAGAGTACTGAAAATGAAGCATATAAATAGATGAATAATTAATTACCCAAATTAGCGAGTCTTACGTAGGATAATTTTGCAATAATTTATTATCAGAAAGAAAAGGGAAAGCAATCATATATGTATATTTTTAATAAATTCTCCAATACAGTGTGAGATGTTCTTAGATGTAGTCTGGACGTTTTCTTATAATAAAACACATAACAGGGAGTAATGCAATTTGCCTGTATTATCTTACAAGAAAAACATATTTAATTTGAGCTTCGGAGGAAGAGGCTTATTTAGTTCCCCTAATTCAATGACAAAAAATAAAAGTGTCTCGTTTTCACAGTGAAGAACCCTACAAATAAGAAAAGGCGCGCTTTCGGATTCAGAAATAAGCCGCTTTTCACTTCTATTCACATATCTCCAGAGTTGAATTTCTAAAATTAGAAGTGCCGGAGCCCTGCAGAAGACTGTCTGAAAAAAAATGAATTTAAAAAAAAAAAAAAAAATTAAATAAGTAAAAGGTAATTAAGCAATAAAATAGATACAAATTTAATACATTTTAAAATTAATTATAAATAGCTTAATAAAACTTAAATTATCGAAATCCGCCTTATTTGAGGCTCCGCTTGAAATTACAATTCCACTTAGAGGTTAAGAAGTAGCTCAGCCGATCTTTCATGGTTTTCCCCATGTGTAACATGTATACGAGCTAGTTTCTTTTCGAAAGTCCTCCACAAAGGCATCCCTCCCCTTAGGCAGATAGCCCTCGAGGCTTTGCTATAACCACATAAAACGAAACCCAAACCAAATCTGTTTAAATTTTCACCCTCTTTTTGTCAAAGTTATGAATCCATATTTTCTGACTCACATGGTATAATTTCAACTGATGTAACGAACAAACTTAATTCTGTGTAGCTATACTAATCGACTGTGCAGCTATACTATTCGACTGTGTAGCTATAGTATTCGACAGAGTTCCAAGAATTCTGTCTCAAATGTTTAGCTTATCCTGCTGTGAACAAACGTCCCTTCACTTTCAAGGTGATTTTTCTTACTCAAACGGTTTGCCAAGTGTTGTCTTTGAATATTCTGCACCCTTCGCTGACCTGGTTCTTCTGTATGTAATTATGTTACTGTATCTACTCGCAAGGGGGGTGAGGTTTGGGTTGTTCAACGCTTATCTGTGTCGGATCGAGACCCTGCGACGAGACTAGCGCTGGAATTTTGTTTATATCGTGGTTTTCGGAGGGAGTGTTTGACCACTTGAAATAGCCTTGAATGGCTGTTTTGAAACTCAACGAGTGATTCCAGGTTCTGGAAGCCCGAAGACTTACTTCCCCAGAGAAACACAGGTTCGGCGGTCGGAAGACTGCAAGAACTGGAAGACATTTCTTCCCCGTTTCTTCACCAAGTTCAAGGATCCCACCAAGTGAAGAAAAACATCAGCGCGGGTTTTCGAACACACAGAGTCACCGAGACACGCCGAGTGAAAAAGACAAAAAACGTTCTTCTAACCTCCCAGAGATGAAAGGTCTTAACAGCTGGCTGTGTCGGACCATCCAGATTGTTCGAGGAGAAAAACTAACCAAGGAGAGACTGTCTTGCACCATGTAATTTATCAAATCTCATCCTCACATTTTCTTCGTTTCTTTCTACTTACCACGTATCTCCGTTAAGGAGTGGCTTGGTTCCAGTCGCTTCTTCGTCACGGCGTTGTTATCAACTCCACTCTGAGCTGTAGCTGGGTATAATACTGTTTACTTCTTTTGCCTCGTGCAAACACTTAGAAAAATGTAACTTTATGTGGTTAATAATAATTCAATGTGCTTAATTATGCTAATTCACTAAAGTTTATGTTGAATGAAATGGTATTCTTGTTAATTACCGGTGAATGCTTAATGAGAATTTGCTTTTTAGTAATGTCACGTCTGTCTAAACTAAATTGGTATTGAAGTTTTAAATGGGTCTAATGCTCTCTTATTCTTCCCCGGTTTCAAATCGTACCTTTTTATTTATGTTACTCAAAAATTGGTTGAGTGTTTTATGTTTTGCAGAAAAATGTGTTTTAATCATAATGTAATTTCGAGAAAGAGTAGAATTGATTTTTAAGGTATATTTATTTTTAAAGCAGAATTTGTTTGCTAAAATTGTGTTTGCTAAATTAAAATTGTGTTTGCTAAAATTTGTTTGCTAAAATCACTTACATATAAGAAATGCTGAGCACTTTCATTTAACGAAATGAACGAAATTTAACGAAATTCCACTCCGGGTAAAATTATGATTTATCTCAAAAATTCAGAAGTACCAGAGCCGGGCTGCGGTGTGCTCAAGAGCTGTTTAAGATCTGCCTATTTCAAAATTAATTTAGATTTGCCATTTAGGCAAAACGCAAGAGAGTTATCTGCTGAAGGGAAAGGATAATTTATTTCATAAAAGATATTTTATGGTACAATGGCACCCATTTATGTTACAAGTAATGAAATCAAACCACGGACCTCTGGAATACCGGCCCGGCGTGCAGAACCACTACACCACGAAGGCACGCTAGGGAGGCCGGGAAATATCTTATAGACTTACCTATTAACCAAGGCTTACCTCTTCGGCAGACTTACCAAGATAATTAGAATGTGGGCGTTCATTTTATAACAAAACTATCATTACATATTTGTAGATCAATTTTGTTTAAAAATTTTCTTTCAAAGTTATTTTTCACTCATAAAAACGCACCTTTTTCCTCAGTGCCTAAATTAGTAAACAAAATGTGGTTAGTAAATACGATGAAAAATTCTCAGCATTGTGCTAATGAACAACTAAGAGAATATAATTTTTTTTTCATTTGCTTCATTTCATAGGAGATGCTGTATCTGATTCATTAAAATAGTACAGTTTCCAAATCATTACAGAAGGATGCGCCGAAAACATTACCTTGCACAACATGGCTTTTATTTTTAATTCATAAATTTCCACTTAAACTTTAAAATTGTTGATAATTATACAATAATATTGCATTCAGATTAGCTAAAGGTATAAAAACCTTACCAGAAACATAAAATCCCCATATTTCAATCATTTCGTAGAGATAAAGCAGGAGACATGAAAAATGTGCAATGCTGCAATGTGCAATGCAAAATGTGCACAGCTGTTTGACGTGTGCAGCCAGTCGTCATTCGACTAGGTGAATTTGCAGATTTAACATGAACTGGTATACGTGGAATGAACTTGCAAATATGCATGTAAATGCCAGGCATATTCCAGAAGATCCGGCTGTCCATGCAACGCCATTGTGAGTCGTGCATTCTAGCATATGTTCAACAGTTCGAGCACCTCTTGTAAGTCTGTAAAACCGATGCAAAGAAATGTTACATGTAAGATAATAAATGTTTTTTTCCTTTACTACTTCCTTCTTATGTGTTTTTTCTATCATTGAACTGGTGTCATTTTGCCCTACTACATGGCATATGCGTCCATAGATTCCTATGTGAAATTTCCTTCTTTTTCTATTCCCTACCTCCCCACCAAATATTGATGACGAATTCTAAATCACTTGTGCACTGGTATAAATTAGAACTTTGTAATTAACTGAGGTATTTCAATTCAAATTTTTAAAATTTAATGTGTAATTGATACTGTAGCAAATACAATTAAAACAAAAGATACTTGTAGTTTTATATTATTTTACTTATCCTGAAATACGCATTAGTATCGAGTTTTACACATGCTTATAAGAATGATTGAAACTTTAGAGGAATAACTAAATACATAATAATGAATGTCATTTTAAATAACACACAATTCTGTACCACCTTCATGTCTGAAATATTAATTACATGGCTTATGTCAGCAACTGTATAGAAGGAGGAAGTGAAAAATAATTTATTTCTATATAATTCATCTCGAATTCCTCGAGAGAATTGGCAGGTATGGCATTTTCTTCCAGAAATATATTTAGTTCCGACAGTTTCGTTATTCTGTTTAGCTTGCCAAACAAAGATCTTCCCACTAAATGAGCAAATAAAAGAACTGTCGTTTACGCTGAGATCCTGGAGAAGTATAATAATACACTAACCACCTTCGTACGTCTGATGCATTTTAACAATCAAGAAACCCTTTGTCAGGTGTATTCGGTAAGTAAATATGTTGTAAAATGAAGGAAATGAAACCAAGAGTTTTATTTAAAATGAATTTAAACAAAGTAAACCGTGATGCAGAAGGAAAGAATAATAATGCAATTGATTTTTACACTGACGGTATAGATTTAAATAAATATTACTAGAATGTTTACTGATATTGAATACTTGCTTTTCAATATTTATTCCAAACAGTAAACGTGCGCGAACTTCTTGATCTCAGAACTCAAACATAATTTGACATTTTCTTATTTCTTTCACAGTACAGTGACTAATAGCTTAGAATGAAGTATATAATGCTATAAAACTCTCTGAGTAGCGTGCTTTTAGTTAAGTAGGAAACGTACAATCTTTACTACCCCTCGTAAACGCTCAATCGGTAAGACCGATGGATACTAAGCAGCTAGATCTGAGTTTTAATCTTGGTGAACAGTCTGCCTGCTTTGGTATTTTTGCAGTTTCCCTCGTTTAAATAAATAAAAATTTATTTTAAATTTCGTCGTTCCATAGATACGGGCCATTTGCTTGAGAACATTTAACATGAAAGTAGTTCTTCCTTCAATCAGACAGCCTATATACTTTGCGGTATTCAATCAAACAAGCAAGTAAATTTATCTTAATATAGAAATTTCTTAGATAAATAGTATGTTAATAAAATTTCAGATCAGCTTTCAAAGTCATTAAATGTTATAGAATAAATTTTTAAACAACACTTCGAAATAAAATTTGAACTTCCAAATGTAATCTATGCTTTCAAATCAAAATCTTGATTTATAATATATGAATAACGCAGAAAAAACATGAAAATGTTGGTTTGCAGCTTAATCAGTGGTTGAGAATTACAGATAAGCCAAATATTGGTAAAAATACAATCGGAAAATCTTCAAAAAAAATGCAAAGAAATTTCATAATTTTCATTTCATACTCTATATCACATATCAGAAAAATGAGAACAAAAGAGCTCAGAACCCCCATTGAAAATTAAAGCCTTAGTATAAAACTCGTCTTCAAAGCGGCAGGTCTTTCGTTCGCTACATTCCCAAAATATCGCTTTACAAGTTTGAGAAACAATGCGCTTATTTTCGTAGTATACATACGGAAGAGATGCTTTTACAACGTTCCTGCATCTTATTAATTATGATACTAGTTGCATGTATGTTAGTTCACCAATTTCAAGTATCATCCATGTCTGATGGCTTTTGCTTATTATCCACAACCTCCCTGTAACCTTCTTATTAATATGTCATGCTCCTATTAGCTTTCTCTATGTTTTATGAACGTTTTATAGTATAGTAATTTTCATATCTAACTCGCTACTTGTAATAACCACCAAGTGTTCTAGCA